TCTGGATATCTCTTTCATGACGTGGATTGATTGCGGGTGTCTAATAGACGAGTATATCGGGGATAATGATAATGATAATGATCGCCTCCACTCTTCACTTGTAAACTAAAACCTGTGATCACTTAACACCCTGCGATAAGTTCCGGCAACTCTCATCTACTTATCTAATAGTTTCAAACACTGTTTGGCCTTATTATTGTTGGTGGGGTAAATTTAGGTGGACAAATCGATATGTTATGGTTGTTACCTCGCCTAGACTTCGGCAACGGGCCATACAGGTCTACGGCAATAATGTCATTTTTGATTATTCAGTCCATTTCCATTTTTGATTATTAGTAGTGGGTATAGTGGAGCCATGACCACAACATAATTGCAACAAAAACTGCTAAAGTAATTGCAAACCCCTAAAACTCTTATTAACTGTCTAACATTTTCCGGTCTGGATATTGTTTCGATCTCTTCGATCCTGTCCAATCCCATTCTTATTCTGTCCTTTGTTGTTTTATTCCCGAGAAATTTTATTTGTGGCACACAAAAATGAGATTTCTCGAGATTGAATACTAGGTTATTCTCAACCAATAATTTGAACAATTTTTCTAATGCTTCAAGATGACGTTCAAAATAAGTGGAGTTCAGAACGACGTCGTTCACTTAAATAGCGGTGTCTTGTATCCCAGCGTTGTTCATGATTTCGCAAGCGCTGCGTAATCCAAACGGAACGCGTTGATGGACAGATCTCCGCCCCTGAGAGACGAAACCGGTGTATTTTTGGACTCTTGGATGCAGCCTTATTAGGTAGTAAGCCTTTCTGAAGTCCGTCGATGAAATCCATCTCTTATTGGCGAATTGCATTAATGCATAATCCCGGTACGGCACTGTCAGTGAGTTCAAGTGACGCGCATCCAGACAGAGGCGCAAAGTATCATTCTACTTTCCACAAACACAATGAGATTCACGTAAGCCGTGTCGCACTTTTAATTATACTTTCTTACATCATTTCATTAATTTGCTTCGCAATTTCATCCTGGTATGCTACCGGGATGGAGTAGGTGCGTCCCTTGAAGGGCGTTTCGTCCGTGAGCTGGATCCGAAACACGTAATTCTTTACTGGTTAACGATTCTTCTCGAACACCTTTTTGATGATGAGTAGTAGTTTAAATAACTTTGCCCTCTGTTCTTTATCGAAGAGTGATGCTTGATCAATAATTAATTGGCTCTCCGGGTGACGCCGGGTCCATGGCAAAAGTGCCAATGTTTCGGTCGCTATTCTGCGACCTTCCTCAGGGCGTAATGCCTGGTCAACTTTTTCTTTGATTAATCTTGGCATGTCATTTATATCCAATGAAATTATTTCGAATTCATGTGTATTCATTTAAATTTTTATTATAAATTTTCAACTATATGTCGATCTTTGTATTTCCACGACCTACAAGAATTTACGAGGCTTTAGTATTAATTACAACATCATTCTCTACGAGAAAAACAATGCCTAGCGAATCAATGACAGGGTATGCGAGTCTTTTCACGACAAGACAGGGCGTGTCGTACACCATCTTCCCTGTTTTCAAAGGCGCGAGTATTTGCGTTCGTGTTGGGTTTGACGTATTTCCCACGGCGGTTGGCAGTGCTTCGCGTCCTCTTGATCTTCCTGAGGGAATTCAATCTTGATGTCGGTAAAGCTAGCACCCGCACTTTCAAGAAACTGAAAACTTCGTGCGCCATACTTTTGGGCGAATTTCAGCCTCCCTCCAAAAATTTTGGACAACCATCCAAGATCCCGGAATTAAGATATCAAATTAGGGCTGGTAAAGCTACCCAAAATTCAAATGTTTTTGTACGGTCAAAACAAGTGAATTTTAAACACCTATGGCCCATTTTTCAAAATTTCTAACCCCTAACCAAAAAACAATTTTGCATCATAATTTCGGATTCTTTAATGACACCAAAAATATTATTTCTGCTGTATTACAACGCCCCGAAATCAACTATACAAAAATGGGGAAGGCCCACTTCCTCAAAACTAGGAGATCCGGAGAAATCTCACACAATCTGTGTGAATTATCCCCTATACGTGTATTTCCTACGGAAAAAAAGGAATTTGTTTTGAGTTTACCGTTCTACATTTTACAGCTACGTTGAGATCAATATTGAGCCTTAAAATAATTATTTTGATTCATTTCTATGCACATTTTTTAAATATGATCTAACTTTAAGAAAGTTAGATTTTTATCAAAGAAAATCCCCATCCTTTAAAAAAGATGCTAAAAATTAAAGAATGATAAAGAAGTTATTTAAGTAAACAATGACAATTTCAATATTACATTTTTTAAAAAATAAAGAAAAACCAAAATGGAAACAGAATAGTGCCAAGTATAAAATCTAAACTACATGGAATACCACAACCCTTAATATTTTCAAGTTTCAAACTACTATTAGTATTTTAAAACGCATACAGCCGATTACGGTAGATTTTTTGCCTCAATTCCATCCATTAGATGTAATGGCAATATCTCAGCTACTGTTAGAATTATTGTATGATAATTTTCCTTATACAAATGGTTGCGTATGCTTCCGTGTACGCTCTGAAGAATGCCACAATATGCTGGCCGAAACGATAGCCACCATGACATTGTCGCGGCTCGACCCGGATAGCCTAGCCAACACAACTCCTTATACAAACTCCAAGATTCAGCATGAATATGCACAATAATACTAACTCGATATGCCAAAAAATTTTATGCATTTCTTCCATTCTTTCCAAATAATGGAAAATTCTCAGGCAAAATATAATAGATTTTTTCTCAATTTTTCATTCGTCAATTAATTAACTCTTACATATTTAACAAAAGTAAGTAAGGAATTTGCTGACCTGGATGACCGAGGTCGCTCAAGAGCGTGAACCAACTCAGCGCTTCGATCAGAAGGGTCGCGGGTTTGAGTACTGCCTTAGGCATGGTTGCTTGTCCATTGTCTCTCAATGTACCGCATGAAAAGTTGCGGAAAGACTCGCGTTCTGCTAACCACAGATCAGAGAAGTCCTTAAGTGTGTTGGTGTCTAGCGTATTATAGAATAAGCGTCCCATCAGGACGTAAAAGGTAACCAGCTGTTGGGTGCATAAAAAACCTTAGAGAAGAGAAGAGATAAATAAGGAATTTACTAATAATTGTATACAAATTATAAAAGATGTGCTTCAGAAATAATTTGGAGTTTGTCGACTTGTTCTTGGAAAAAAGAGAAAAATAATCAAAACATTTCCAATTTTCTTTCATCTTCATAAAATACGTTGTCATAAAACCTTAACTACTCGGATTTCGCTTCCAGCAATCGAATATAGTATACAACATATCCAAAGGTATTTGACATACAAAAAAATATAATTTTGGACTTCTTCTTCTCTCCATTTCATTCAAAAAAGGGAAATTCTCGAGCGAACTGTATGGAACATTTTGACTTCTTCTTTCACAATAAAAACTCTAAAATAATTAACTAATATAAATAAAAAAATTCTCAAATACTTTTGCGCTACTTCGTTCTTATCGAAAAAAATATACTAATCAAAACAATCAGAATTTTTTTCCGAATTTCCAAATTTGTGTTGCTATAAAATCTAAACCACGAATTCCGCTTCCGACAACCCAATGTATATAAATCACATGCAAGGGAATATGACATTGTCCAAATATAATTTTGGGCTTCTCTCCTTTCTTTCTAAAAAGGAAAATTCGCATCAGAACAATATTAGACTTTTACGGCCTTTCATTTAATAAACACACATAACATAACATACACTTATAAACGTGGCATAGGTCGGATTTTCACAATTAACTATGAATTTTTGAAAATTTCAAACATTTGAATTTTTTTCGGACGTCTTCCTACAACTACAAAATTTAAGATAGAGAGTTTTCCTTCAAATACAATTTGTTCTCCATATTGAGTTCTTTCAGTAAGATCATCAATATTTTTTGAAAATTTTAGTCGTTTTCGCCCAATATTGCATGCATAATGTGCAATTTTATTAAATTACAAAAGCAAGGTTTTCTCACAACAGCTACATTTTTTTCATTACAATTGTTTTACAATTAGTGCTAAATGCGCTCTATGATGACACAAACACTATATTGCCCTATTCTTTGGTTTTTTCAAAAGTTAAAAATGTATTTTTTTACATGCCTCTCACATCGTTAATATTTATATTAGTGGCGATTTGTTAATATCATTTTAATTTGTTTTAAATAATGTCATACAAAGATTCTTGAAAAGTTAACCGTTTTCTGTGAAAATTGCTCAAACTTTCGCATTTTCAAAAATATTCAAGCACCATTTACACAAAAACGGCTCCATTTTTTTCTTTAAAATTTTCAAACTGATAGTGTTAATTGCACTGTTAAAAATAACATTAATTTTCCTGTATTGTTTTGATGCTTTTTAATTACACAAATGTAATTTTGTTTTAAGATATCTCACGCTATTAATATGCACATTTCCAGTGATTTGTAAACACAATTGAATTTGTGAGTTAAAGTTCTTCAAATTACTTCTAAAGAAGGTTTACAAAAACTCAAAACTTTTGCGTGAAAGAGTTTCAAATTCCGAATTTCCATTAAGTCGTTTCTTTGAAAACGGCTCCAGAGTTCTCAAAGAAAATTTTATTAAAAACGGCTCCAAGTATTTCAATGAAAATTGCCATAAGGTTTTTCTGTTCTTTCATATTCTCAAAATAATATTTCCGTTCTACGGAATTTTTACTGACAAATTAAGATTTTAAAAAAATGTACTTTTGGCGGCGATAGATGGCAGCTGGCAAGAGTATGTAGCAAGTTCGTATAGCTAGGAAAAAGAAAACTAATTCGGGAGAGTCTGTGCCATTATGTAGCATCACAAGATCTTTCTTAATAAATATGTAACGAATGTAAATATCTGTACATATCTGTTTACGGATGTAAATGCGCTTCCATGAAGAAACAAAAAAAAAACAACAACAACAAAAAAAAAAAGAACTTGTTATTCACCAGACCAAAGAATATAGAATCTCTTAGAATGTGTCAACGGTTTGGTGTACATTCATGGCATTATGGTGGGTTTTGTGTGGTGTGTCTTTTAGGTTACCTATCTTTCATTGCTTGCAATGAAGTTTAGAAGTGTGTGTTAAAATTTTGGTGATTTTATTTCCCCACATCTACTGGATAGATAATGGAGAAGAGAAAAAGAAATGTACTTCCTTTAAAGTGTGTAATTTTTGTTTGATTGAAATGTCTTTTGAAGCAGAAAAGAAAGTTACTTCCTTCGACTGCAAATAATATAAAATAGTTTATTCATAGTATTATTGGACTTCTTAATTTTGAATACAATGGCTCACACAGTCAGAATTCCGATATACGGACGACGACCACCGTGTGCTACTAGTTCTCGAATAGACGACTGGCACCAACGATTGCGTGTCCTGAGACTTGAGCGATTGCGAAAACCTGAGAAACCAGAAGATTTTGTGGTCTATGAAGATTCGGATGACGAAGAAGAGAATTTAGCAGCAGAGACACAAGTTCTTAGGACGTCTTACAATTTTGTTGATTATGTTCGGTGCCGTGAAATGGGCGGCAGGGAACCCAGTTGGGTTGGTTCAGATTTTGGATCTCGTCATATTCTCACTCATGAAATGTTCAAAGAATATTCCGTTTCTCTCAGCAACATGAATAAAGTATTTTGTTCTCAGTGGCTTAGTGATCGACAGGTTGTATTTGGAACAAAGTGCAATAAGGTAACTTTTTCTTAGTCATTGTTTTATGACATTTAATTTTATTCTTTTAGGGTGCTCGAAATATTATAATGTAGTATTCAGGAATAAATTAGTTATGTGTTGGATGTCAGAAATTTATTTCTCAATGGGAGTGTTTTCTTCCAGCTTATGGTGTATGATGTAGTCACAGAAAGGTTAGATCAAATACCATCATTACAAGGAAGAAGAGATCCAGTTGCTGCACCCCAAGAACAGCAGTGTGGAATTCATTCTGTTCAGATAAATCCATCTAAAACATTGCTTGCTACTGGAGCTAGAAATTCCAGTGAAATTGCTGTGTATCGTTTACCTACTCTTGATCCTGTGTGTGTAGGGGAGGTAAAGCTGTCTTTATTGCTTCTAATGATAAAATGCAATGAACAAAATTTACCAGAACGTTATTGAATTTTTTTTAGGGTGCACACAGAGATTGGGTGTTTGACATGTGTTGGTTAGATGATCAGTTTCTGGTATCTGGCTCAAGAGATACAAGAATGGCCTTGTGGAGAATTCAAGAAGATGATCTAATTAATCGTGAGGATGTTCCATCATATAAACACATACAAGCCCTTTCTGTAAAAGATTGTAGATCAGCTCAAAAAGTGAGAGCTGTTGCATTTAATAAAAGTTTCCAAGAAATAGCAGCATTGTCTCTAAATGGATATATTCATATATGGAATGCTGAAACATTTAAACAGGTAGTAGTCCTTTTATAAATTTATTTGAATTGTATGGAATTCCGAGCATTTATAAAATCAAAGTGTTATCTCACAAGTGTCAGTAATTAAGATGATTTGTTTGTTTATTTCACTGTACTTAAATTAATTATTTTCTATAGATCAGTAGTTTTTTTAAATATAATTTTGTTCATTCTGCATAATTAAAAGGTAATTCAGCAGTAGTGAATTGCAAACAATTCTGCAATTGAAAATACAAAAATTGTAATTCATCTTAACATTTTCAAATTTTTTAAATGTGTGTAATAATTCCATTTTGTCCTGTAGATTCCTGCAATCCTTTTGACATTTAATTTCTCAAAATAATTTGTTTGTTATTTTAAGAGGCATGTGTTTTGAAAAAGCATATTATAAATATGAATTCATTTTTCAGAAACTATCGCGAAAATTGCCATCATGCCAAGAGAATGTCTGTCTTGCAGTACAGGACTCTGGAATGTATGCAGTTGGATGTCGATCTTACACTCTCCTATTAGATGCTCGCACATTGCAAGCTGTTAAGAAGATTCCTACTAGATACAGTGGCTGTGGTATGAGATTAGAAGCAGTTTTTTATCATATTAAAGTAGTATACAACATTGTTAACTATGATTTACAATGATAAAGTTTATTTCATTAAACTATTTTGTGTAATTTTTATACTTTCATAATTAATAGCAAAAGGCAGAACTAAATCATAATTGTTCTTAATTGTTAAAAAAACATCCAAGAACATTTTTGGGATTAGTAAATAAATTGTCTCTTCCCAATTGTGTTAATTTTGTGGTTAGAATTCATATAAATAATGTGAATGTTAGACCTTAGAGTTTTATATATACATGGTAAATTCCTTTAGCATGCTTTTAGAGAAATAATTGTTGATGTCTTTATTTATTTACTTACTGTTCTTTTTATCTTTGTAATTTGTCTTATTGTATTACCTGTTTAGAACTATGAACTTGCACATTGATTCATATTATCAAAGACTTTGACTAGATGTTATTCATGACTGCATCGTAAAATGTTTATGATTTTATTGCAGGTATTCGTTCTGCAAGTTTCCAAGGCAATGTATTGACTATAGGAACTGGTGTTGGGATTCTGATGTTTTATGATTTACGTGCTGGGAAATATTTAGATTCTAGCATCAATTCTAGTCGAACTGTTGTATTAAAAGCATCTAAAGGATGGGTGGTAGGTATAATGTTATCTGGATTTGGGTAATATGTAATATCAACTTATATGTTGTACCAAACTTCTTTGTGCAAGGCATTGGAGAAACACATGATGACATTGACAGTGGTTTCCTAGTGACATGCAATTGCAGCAGCTCTTCCAAGAATTTGTTGCCACAAACTCAAATAAATGAATAAATAAATTAAGAGGGAGGGTGTCATACCAGCTGACTGCTTCTGCCATGCATTTATGATGCCAAGCATCAAAATTTCACCTTATTAAATGTATGCAGATAATATAGGTATTGGACAGAAAAATATCAAAAGTATAGGTCTGATATTTAATATATGCTGTAGATTGACCCCAAAAAAACATGCAGCGGGCATGTGGCAATGGCAATGTTGCCTCTGTTGAGGCTCAATTGTTAAGTACAGAAAAAATGATACAACATATATATTGTTGGAGGATATTAAATTTTTTCTTCCATGTTAGTATGTATAAATTTTATATATTAATCAACATTCTGCTGCTCAGCTACCTTGTCATAAATGGATTAGGACATTAATAACTATTTCGGCTCTACAAGCGTCACTGAATATTTGATAGTCACAAAAATGGAGGTACTTCAAATCATTTTCGGTAAAGTAGTGTATATTTAACTGATGCTAGGTCAGTTTATGAAATTATGCAATCATGTGAATCATTTCTGTATACACTATTTACATCCACGTTATATGAATTCTCTTTTATTATAGTCATGATCATCATCTTCAAAGTTTGAGAACTTTTTTCCACATATGTACTTTTAATGGTATGATAGGGGAAATACATAATCACAGGAGTCAAGGTGAAGACTGAAATAGTAAATGTTATTTCACCTCTTGTCTACAGGAATTAAATGGTCTGTGTCTTATGTGGGTGCATTCTTATTGTTCAATAGGTACTCCTTAAGCTTTCTGAATGAGCACCATTTTTTAAGTTTCATTTGATTGGCAAACTGAGCTTTTCTCCTTGTGTACTTTTTGCTTCTCAGACAAAGTGAAAGACAACAGGAGTATTTCCCTGGTTGGTAATGAAGAGTGTACTCAGCCATGTCATGATGCTTATTGTATTCTTTAGTCCCTAGGTCAATCACTTGTTATATTGGCAATTCAGTAAATTCTTTAAATTCTCAAAACATTGTTACTCATTATAGAGGAGGATTCCTAAAAATGCTTTGTAAATGCACAGGACTGTGAGACTTTTATAAATGTTCAGAAAAATCTTAATGTGTTAGTGTTTCATTCACAATGCATTGATTGTTACTACTTGAATGCCACAAGCACAAAAACAGTAATGCTTCCCTTACACCAATAAGTTAAAAGTAATAAAAGACCATATGAAACAATAGATCCTAACAATAGGCGTCAAATTTCTGTAGTGACCTCCAAATTATGGTCCCAGCTTAGAACATTTTATTATTGTTGTACAGTCTTATCAAACACATTTTTTTTTAATTCTTAGTTTCTGATGCATGCTTATGGAAAATACACAAATAAAAATACATTTGATATAGGGTTAAGGGTATCATTAATTAATTAAGGAGATATGTATATCTGTTGTTTATTTTAATTTGTTGCTTCATTGCAACATGTCTCTTAACGCTTCTTGGGCATTGAGCGTATGTATTGTGTAATCCTCCATTAACCTTTTGTCTTGTCACATGGCAGTGTCAGTGCCTTTTATCCCTTTGGCCAGGGTCTCGGCGCCATTAGTAACCTAGCTTCCCAGGCAATCACATGTCCAAGAATCCGTGGTATCTCAATAACTTCCTTGACTTCACGGAGTGCAGTTGACTAATTTAACTAAGTATGCCAAATCCATGGAAATATTTTACTCATTACTTCATAGAAAAATAATTAAATCTTATTCATTGTATTTGAAAAAGTTCCTGTAATCAACATAATTTAGATTTAAAATACTGTGTCAAATTAGGAAGCAAATATTTTGTAACATATATTAAAAAATGTAATGTTTTTATTTTAAATGTTGTTTTAATATAAGTGCAAAAGCTTCAAAAAATTCATATTGATCATCAATTTTATTTAGTTTCCAGATGAGGAATACATAGATGGCTTTCAACACATCAAATACACTCCAGCTATATATACACATTGCTATGATTCGTCTGGCACAAGACTCTTCACTGCTGGTGGACCTCTTCCTGCAAATTTATATGGAAATTATGCTGGCCTATGGCAGTGACAAAAGACTTTAGGAAAAGTATGTTACTTCATCAGTACCATATTGAAAAGTATGAATCTGATAGCTCTTGTTTGTATGCTAATATTCATTGATATGTTATGTTGTGTGAACTGTGTTTTTGACTACTATTTAATTATCAGAATAGCATAAAATGTCCCTGAATTTTCATAATGTGAATTATCACTGCTAATTTTTGAATATATTTCTAGAAAAAATATCAAATCAATGTGCAGCCACTAGTAGTCGTTCATCTTTTATTTACGTTTGAATATGTTGCCGCAACATATTACAGGAAAATATGTCGAAAGGGTCCAACTACGTATTTTAAACTTCCAGAGAATGGAATTTGTTTTTATGTACCACAGTTTATTTTTCATGTCACACTTAAGGTTATTCAAAAAATTATTGTACATAATGTTCTTATGATTGATAGTTTTGCATAAGTGTCTGATAAATGGATTTGTGTGTGTGATGGTGTCATTGTAATCACTGGCAAAAGATCAGAATGAATTTTGTTAATAATTTTGAGACATTCTTTGAAATTTTGTTGCACTTTTTTTTTTTTTTTTTTATTTTATTTAATTAATTTAAATAAATTAATTTTTTTCTCCCTTTTCCTTTTTTTACTTCACTGGTGGTTTGAATTTCTGTCTCACTCTTTCCTATTATTCCCTTTTTTTGGGTTCATTTTTATCTGCCTTTGTACATAGTATGCAATATGTTGCATCTTCCAATTGTGTACAGCTATTGTTTTTACTTTTTATATTTTATTGCGCAATATAGTCATTAATTGTTAATTGAAATTATTCATCTCCTGATGTCTTGAAGTGCATACAAAATTGGTTATGAATCAGCTCATTGTATACGTTATTTATGATTTGCATAAGCAGAGAAGCAAATTACTTTCCCGAATGCTATTTTTAATGTAGTTTTTAATTACTTTTAATGTAACAATGCTGGTCTTTGTAACTGATTCCTAGAAAAATCAATGTTTTGTATGATATTTTACCATGGATTAGGGCTAAGAATGGGGAACCTGGAAGGTTTTGTGTTGTTATTTTTGTTATTACGTATATCTTGTCATCTTAAGTAGTGGAATGTTCTATTGTGTCAATGTTGGAGGGTAGGAAAAACTCATCTCCAAGATTTCAAAGCTTATTCTATGTATTTGCAGAACAATTAAAACAAATAATGTATGGTAGTGATAATAGAAAGGTATCAGATATATTCAAAGGACTATTAGAAACTTCAAAATATTTATATGTAAATTATTTTGTTTTAACTCATTGCACCTATTGAAACTTATGCTTTTTAGATTTTTCCTGATCTCGCTGTATGTGAATGAATGTAAGAATTGAAATTTAATGATAACATTAAAAAAATGTTAATGGCAAAGATGGCTTTTTGTTTTGCATTTCTACATGTAAATTGTTAATCCCAATTTCGACTAACCTTTTTACCAACCATACATTCAACAATTTTGTCTCATGTAATCAATTTCGTATTTATAAATAAATGATTATTCTTGATGACGCTTAAGACTTTGATGAATGGGATGGATTCAGAAATCATTGGTAATTGAAATTAAAATTTATGAAAATTTTTTATGATTAAAGACTGGATTCTTGTGTAACTGCATCTTTTCTTTGCTAACTTGCAACTGGATGAAACTTACACAGAAATTTGGATCACGAAACAGACTTTATTTTATTACTTATTTTATTTTGCATGAAATTGATTGTTTTAGGGGTTACTGAACAAAAATGCACCTTTTAAGTGATGTTCGCTGAAATTCGCACATTTTTGGATTTTACTGGATGAATGTGGAAGATTCTTAGTTTTATTGCATAAAATATAATTTTTATCTTATCAACTTGTTTTAATGTATCTTTTTTAAAGGTTTCATTTGAGAAAAAAGTTTTATGACTAAGCTGTGTATTTATAGGTATGAAAAACTGTAGAAATAGGCAGGCAAAATAGGGGGTTAAAAAAGAACTATATTTTTTCTTATCCATATTTATATACAGTAGAGTTCCGAGTTCTCCGGCTCTGTGACGTCGTGCGATTACGCTGTGGCAATCAGTGAGCGACAGAGAGGGGGTAGAGTGGGGATACGGGAAGAAGGTGAAGGCAGAGAGTGGGGAGGAGATGGAGAGTAC